GAAGTTGAAATAATAAGAAAATAAATAAAAATGTCTGAAAAGAATTCTAATTGAAAATCCTCAAAATATAATTGTTCAAATCCATTAATCCAAAACCTCCAACTATTTAACAACTCGGGGAATCCATCTAGTGGACCCCTATTAATATCCCAAACTGAAACTGAAACAACTAAAATAAAATCTAAAGCTAAACATAGAAAGTAGTCGGTGGAATGAAAGTCTGTATCTGCTCTGCACAACCAAGCTCTAACCCTGGAACTGACGAGCACCTGAAAAATAAGAGAGTGGGTTAGGCCCACATGCAAGTCCTATTCTACTACGATCCAAACAGGAATCTGATATACAGATACATCCTAGATAGAGTCAACAATATCTAGAGTAGTCTATATATGTATAAGTGCACACTATAAAACGCTCACTAGTCCAATAGTTCTGTCTCAGCCTGAGTAGAGATACCATGCAAATCGCACATAATGTGGTCATGTATACCTAGACCTACTAGGGAACAACAATTACTGTCCAGTTATCCATCCTAGGCGATATACGCACCCTAACCATGATTCTGGGACTCAAGCTCATACCATGACACCATATCATAAATATATAAAGTCTGCATACTACTAATACAAAATCTCATCCATCTGTATAGTGGTCTGATATATATAAAACAATCCATCCTGAAACCAAGGTAGGTTATTCAATTATTTTATTGACATGACACAAATATGAGTAGGATTTAACCTTTGAGGTTAATCCATATCCCAATCCAAATTAGGTATGACTCAGTATTTGATCTAATACATCCCTAATATGCCACCGTCCCATAACGGTGCATACAATCCACAACATCCATATAATTGACAGAATTTAATATCATAATTCAGTAATTAAAATCTAACACATAAATCCATGTAATTGACATAACACATTTTAATAGTTCAGTAATTAATAACCAAAACATTAATTTATGCAATTGCAGAACAGAGTTTAATAGTTCAACAATTAATTCAGAGTATGCATAGATCAAGTCTGACAAATAAATGACCCCATTATGCATCCAAAACAAGATTTATAATCATGCTATAATCCGTTAAATCGCCAAATTAAAATTAAGCAACTAATTTCCTTCCATCCGTTAACAGCATGCGAAGTTATTTAAACTTCCCTACTGATACATCCGTTAGCATAAAGACTTTAATTATGCACATCAAAAAGACTGATTTAATCTCCATAGCAAAATTAAACTATTTAACCTCAAGTTTTAAAAAAAAAAAAAAAAACTTAAAACAGTTTAGTACACATCCACTAACTAACTTTTTAGTTAATTAAATCCCATAATTAGCATATCTAGGTATATTATGCAATCCAGTAAGTTATTGGGCTAATTTACATACTCTGATGTTAATAAAATAACCCCAAACGCGTTCTACATGAACAACACAACATTGGACCAAACTGTTGACAAATTTCCCAAGCCAGTTGATGTTTTCTCTCTAGGTGTCAACTGGTTTACACAAACCGGTTAATGTAAAGTTTCCAAGTGTCAACCGGTTTACCCAAATCGGTTGATGAAAAATTACCAAGTGTCAACCGGTTTACACAAACCAGTTGATGTAAAATTTCAGATGTCAACCGGTTTCTCTAAACCGGTTGACATCTAGCCTATAAACATCAATGTGAAGCCTCGTAGTTTGTCTCTTCTCCGACTCCGATGACTCTGTTCTCCTCCGTTAAGGTTACTAATGGTACAGTTTTACGTCCTAATCAACCCTAAAAATTATTTTGGTTCTTTATACATAATTTAAGCAAGTTAAAATCATAAAACATGCAATAAACTTTAAACAGAAATCAAACATATACACATAGAATTAACATACTGCAATTCAAGTTTAACATGTATACATGGTTGATTTTAATAACTTAAATTTCTTGGAGTTTCCCTAGGCATGCACAAAACACAGATTAAAGGGAAATAGTAGAACAGAGACTTGCCTTGAGTTTTAGTTTTGAAACTTTAATCCACCGTCTCTGAATTTTTCGACGAAATCCCCTACTGATGTTCCACCTCTGTTGCTCTTGGTTTCACCTACGAGCAACCTCTCATTCCTCCTCCTTGGTCCAACCTAGCCTTCCTTTCTTATCTCTCTCTGTTTCTCTCTGTATCTCACTGTCTCTCTATTTTACAGAAATTACGGTTTAAGTTATCTCCAACCCTAAACCGCCGTAATGTCATATTTACAAGTTCAGAATAATAAACCCTAATACGTGTATAACTAGAGAATCTAATTAAAACTCTAGTCGGCCCAACCATGAAACCTAAAACCCTACATCCTCCTCTTAACTTATTTATATAACTAAATTACCAACTTAAAACCATTAGTGTAATTAATACCCATAAGTAAAATAAAAAAAAACAATCATTTAAAACACTTAATTCAATAATTCAGATAATTAAAACCACAATTCAATAATTCAGATAATTAAAACAATAATTCAATAATTTAGATAATTAAAATAATAATTCAATAAGTAAACAAATAACCATTTAAACAAGCACATAAATAAAAATGCAATAAAGGAAAAAAAATTAAAATGCCGAGACTATCATTTTAAAATTAATGGTATTACAACAATCGTTGTGATTGTTGCGGATTATTCAGCCGCCACCGCCTCATCAGTGATCTGCGACAGTGGGGGTGATTATTCAGTGATTTGCGACAGTGGAGGTGGCGCCGATTGTTCGAGGCCGAGTTCCACTATGAAGGTTCGTGATGTGTCACGCGCCAAGCAGGGACTATCTTTGAGCCTCTCTTCCCAGCAATCACAATATGGGTCTTATAGGGCTGAATGTGAAGTTCCTTCTTAGGCCAACCAACCCACAATTTCACCTACATTCGGTAACATTGTGCGGGTTTCTAACGGATTGGGCTTGTCAGCATTTGGGATTTCAAATGGTGTTAGTGGAACACAGAGTGTGGTGTTGGGTTCCAAGTATTTAAAGGTGGCACAAGAGCTTCTTGATGAGGTTGTTATAGTGGATGAGGCTCTTAACAATGAATCAGCTACCAGGATGACTGCTACTGGGCTAACCTCCCTCTATGGCATCTTCTTAGTTTTAATTGTTAGACTGGTTGTTTGTGTGTGTATATGTATATATATATACATATATATATATATCTATAGAGAGAGAGATGAAAAGGGTAATTAGGCCATTTAAGCTTTTGTTATTTTATAATTAAAATTAATAAAATAGTGAAGGGTAAAGTGGGCTTTTCATATGATTTAAGGTTATGTTTGGATGATAATTTTAGGGTTAATTTCACTGACACCCCCTCATGTTTGGCCAAATATCACTCTCAAACATTTTTCGAAAATAATTATCATTTATATTACAAACTTTTGCTCTATTTTTCACTCACACCCCAACCGTTAATTGCGCAGTTATGACACAATGTAAAAGGACTTAAATACCCTTTGACTTTGTCAAAACAACTCTTTAACCTAAAGAATCAAATAAAAAGACAAAAATATCCCTAAAACTATATATACATACATATATATACATACCCATTTTGTTTGAACACACACACACACACATATATATATACCCATTTCGTTTAAATCCATAACATGTTTATACTTTATACACACACACACACACATACACACACATATACATAATTAGTTTTAGATATGGAAATACACATAATTAATTTTAGAATACCTTTTTTATTTATTATTATTTAATAATGGGTTCATACTAAATACAGTCCACACATAATTAGTTTCCTATTATAATGTATATATTATTTTGGAATTCTTATTAAACTGGTTTTAATTCTAAGCCATCTGCAACTTATTTTTAGTTGTATTCAATTGAATTTGTGTTTAATTATTTTTAACTGTTATTATGACACCCCAAATTAAATTATACAAAAATTGACAATATATATGTCATACAATTAGCTATATATATATATATATATGTATATTGATTATATATAATTAGTTGTTGTATTAGAGAAATAAATGTTAATAGAGTTTGAGGATCAACAGGAAGAAGAGCAAGACGAGGAGATTAAGTTGCCACCAAGTTAGGTAACTAGTCTCGACCCCAAATGGAGCTAATGCACCGTCGTATGAAGCGCCGCCTAGGAAACCAAGTCCCAGGTACAGGGGTGCCTGAAGAATAATGTCGTCGGACTTGGCGGCCACGCCGTGTACGGCTAGGCGGAGAGTTCATGTCGGTCGACCCAGAAGGCATCTCGTCACCCAACGCTGTGAATGGTGATGGTTCGTGGTACGATTCCTCCACGTTAGAGCTCTATCCAATTCAAAATTTCCAAACCCATCAAAAGCGTCAAGACCTTGGACGTCGCCATCTCGACTCCACCTGCAATTTTGGTTTGGCCTCCCACCAAACCACCACCGTCCATGGGACCATGAATATCCACCACCACCCATCACCGCTGACCACCGCCAATTTATTAGTTCGACAAAAAAATCAACGTTGCAGTGATATTTTGAAATAAATATGATTAAATATATTTTGAAATAAATATAATTAAAAAGTAAGGGGGTAAAGTTGTATTTTTCATATTTTTAACGGAAAAAAAGAAATGGACCTAAGTGATAGTTATTTTCGAAAGATGTTTGAGAATAATATTTGGCCAAAACTGTGGGGGTGTTAGTGAAATTAACCATAAATTTTATAAGGGAGTGTGGTTGTCAAAAAATAGATAAACTTTTTTATGTGTGTCCTTATCCCAAACCTCAGGATGTCTATGTAATTTACCCAAAAATATATTTCATCAAATGATTAAATAGGAGAGTTCAGGCTCTTCTTATGTGAGGAATTCATAAGAGCATTACTCCGAAAATTAACCTTATTTATATATATATTTTTTTAATTTTTAATTTTTTTGTAAAGGCAATTTATTCCTTTTGCTAAATTTTCTAATTCTTGCCAAACGAAGCATATTAGATTCAAATTCGACTAGTTTACACGGTTAAGGAAAAGAGAACTGCGTCCCTCGCGTTGTGCACGAAAAAGTCCACGACGCGTTTATTCTCACAGCCTTCCTCTGTTCTCTGCAACCTTTCCTAAGCCAAGTCCTCGAACTCATTTCCACCCATTGAAGTCCACTGTTTAACTTTTAGATCCCCTTTATCTTATTCGTACCTAGATCTCTGCATTTCGGACCTACCTAGGGTTTTATCTGAACTCAAATGATCCTTCCATCTTCGTACAATTTCTAGGGTTTCGAATTGCTACAAACACACATGGCTAGTGCTTACGACAACTGGGGTCGACTTGTGCGAGCCACTCTCCAGAGAGAGCAGCTTCGACTCCCAGGCCAAGGCCATGAGAGGACCCCCAGCGGGATCGCCGGTGCCGTCCCGCCTTCTCTCCGACGGGCCACCAACATCGACGCGATCTTGCAAGCGGCCGATGAGATACAATCAGAGGACCCCAATGTCGCCAGGATTCGTATGTTCTATCTTCTCTTCATCTTAATGCTTAAGTACTCACTACTTAATTTTGCTATTCAATATTTTGTTGAACTCATTTTCTCATGCATTATGAACACGAAATAAATGCGTTGCTTCCCTAATTATGTAGTCTGTAGTTAGTTGATCTAAAGAGATTGAGAGCCAAGTACTTGAATTTGGTATTGAAAGGAAAGAACACAACAAAGTGCTAAATTATAGCATTAGTGTTTTTTTTTGTTATTTTGTTATTTTGTTTTTGTTTTTGTTTTTTATTATTCCGTGTGCTCGAGAAAATTGATTAAAAGTTTACTGGGTTCCTTTTAAGTTGTTCTCTTTTAGTTGATTTGCATGTATGTTTCTTTTTTCCTGAAATGATTGGAATTTAATTATACAAATATGTTTAATTATACAAATATGAAACATATAGTACAAGAGGAACAAGAGAGGGTAACTATACCCTCTCAAGAAACGTCAGAACTTAAGATAAGTAAACATGAAACAATCAGAGAAATGAAGTAAACAGCATGACAGCAGCTTAAGGGAGCATAACAGCAAAAGGGAGGGAGACCAGGTGCATCCAGAATGTCAAACAATATACCCCTGTTTAAATATCCAACCTCCCTCTTGATGTGTCTATGCGGCAGATGAGAGTTCCTCTCAGACCAGGTGCCAAGAAGAGTTGCAGTAAGCTACATTTTAGCTAGCTTATCACTAGTTGAATTACCAGGGAATCTGTTAGAAAACTAAACAAATAGCTGCATGAATGAATCAACTGGAGACATCACCCTAGGGGTGACAATTCGTGTTCGTGGGTCATAATCTTGTCGTGTTGATGTAAGGGTATTCTACTAAATAGGTAAACTCAAACCCGACCCATTTAATAATCGTGTCAAGAACCCTCAACACCCGACCTGTTTATTAAACGGGTTAATTGTTCTCATTCCGAAAAAGGGAGGGGTGTTGGATGTTAGGGATTTTCGCCCTATTAGTTTGGTGGGTTGCATCTACAAGTTGATTGCCAAGGTGCTTGCTTCAAGATTGAGGAAAGTTTTGGATGGCATAATTTCGGACTCTCAAAACGCTTTTGTAGGAGGCTGTCAGATTTTGGATTCAGTCCTTATTGCGAGTGAGTGTTTGAACTCCAGATTGTGTAGTGGGGTTCCGGGTGTTCTTTGTAAGTTGGACATTGAGAAGGCATATGACCATGTGAGTTGGAGCTTTCTTCTGTACCTAATGGAGAGGATGGGGTTCGGTGATAGATGGAGGAGATGGATTTATTTTTGTATTTCTAGTGCTCGCTTTTCGATCCTTGTTAATGGTGCTCCTACTGGTTTTTTCTCTAGCTCAAGAGGCTTGAGACAGGGAGATCCTCTCTCCCCCTTCTCGTTCTTGTTTGTGATGGAGGCCCTTAGTAGATTGATGAGAAGGGCTATCGAGTTGGGTCTTTTGAGAGGCTTCTGGGTGGGCAGGGATGCTGTTTCTCAGTTGGAAATCTCCCATTTGATGTTTGCTGATGACACTTTAGTTCTTTGTGATGCGAATGTGTCCCAGATTAGATATTTGAGATGTGTTTTGATTTGATTCCAAGTTGTCTCCGACCTTAAGGTGAATGTGGGCGAAAGTGTTTTGGTGCCGGTTGGGGAGGTCCCTGAGATTGAGACTTTTGCTGACATTCTTGGTTGTCGTACTGGTTCATTTCCCATTTTTCACTTAGGTTTGCCTTTGGGAGCTCCTTCGAGGTGTGTGGGGATTTGAGATCCAGTAGTGGATAGATTTGAGAGAAGGTTGGCGGGTTGGAAGAAGCAGTATCTCTCCAAGGGTAGCAGGGTCACTCTGATTAAGAGCACCCTCTCTTGTCTTCCCACTTATTTTATCTCTCTTTTTCAGATTCCCTCTTCAGTTGCGGAGAGGATTGAGAGGTTGCAGTGTAATTTTCTGTGGGGGGGTAGAGGTGAAGAGTTTAAGTTTCATTTGGTGAGATGGGATCAGGTATGCAGACCAATTCGGAATGGTGGGTTGGGTCTCCGTAAATTGGTGCCTTTTAATAAGGCCCTCCTTGGGAAATGGTTGTGGAGGTTTGGGGTGGAGAGACATTGGCTTTGGAGGAGGGTTGTGGCGTGTCGTTTTGGGGAAATGAGAGGAGGGTGGAGTTCATTGGAAGTTAGAGATCCTCGGGGGGTGGGGGCTGGAAATTTATTCGGAAGGGTTGGGATGAATTTTCCAAGCACATTCAGTTTCGTCTTAGAGATGGGAGGAGGATTTGCTTTTGGGAGAATGTGTGGTGTGGAGATGTTCCTCTTGCTTTCGCCTTTCCTCAGCTTTACAAGATTGCTTCAGATAGGTAGGCCATGGTGGTTAACTGTTATCATCTTGATAATGGGAGGCTGGTTTGGGATGTTTGATTCAGGCGTTCCTTTCAGGATTGGGAGATCGAGGAGGCCATTCGTTTCTTGGAGTTGTTGTATCGCTAGAGGATTGTGGAGGAGGATTCGGATTGTTGGTCTTGGGTTGCAAACTCTCAGGGGCGTTTTGAGGTGAGGTCTTTCTTCAGGTGCCTCTCATTAGTTCTTGGAGTTCATTTTCCTTGGAAGTCTGTTTGGCGTTCCAAGGCTCCTCTCAAGGTGGCTTTCTTTGTGTGGACTTCGGTTCTGGGTAGGATTTTAACCCAGGATAATTTGAGAAGGAGAAGCCAGGTGGTGGTCAATCGTTGTTTTATGTGTCTTAGTGATGAGGAATTTATGGATCATCTTCTCATTCATTGCTCTTTGGCTAGAGAGTGTTGGGATTTCATGCTTGGCTTATTTGGGTTTTCTTGGGTTATGCCAGGTTCTGCTAGAGGGTTGATTGAGGCATGGAGAGGTTGCCTTGTGGGGGCTCTCAGTCAGGATGCGTGGAGGGCTACGCCACTTTGTGCGTGGTGGTGTATTTGGCTTGAAAGGAATAGGAGATTCTTTGATGGAAAGGCGTTATCGATTTCGGTGCTTAAATTCTCGATTATTTCCACTCTTTTTTGTTGGGTTTCAGGGAGAGATCATAGATCGTTGGAGGAAATTGTTGACTTTTTGGCCTCTTTGAAGGCTTGAGGCCTTTGTGGTCTTTGTATTTTCTTGGGTTCTGCTCCCCTTTTGAGCATTTTTTATAAAATGTTTTTTTATCAAAAAAAAAAAAATATTAAATACTGAAAAAAATTTGTCACAAGTAACCAAAATATTCAAAATAAGAAGAAAAATCATAAGGCATAATCAAGATATGTTAAAACAACTTAACTGTCCATAGTAATTGGGTTTAAACATGTAACATATTACATAAGTCAAATTTATGATTATGATATGTTGAGTTAAACGGGTATAAACGGGTTACGCGTGTTGAAACTCCTCAACCCTAACCCGATACGATTAAGTAAATGGGTTAATCGTGTCAACCCGTTTATGAACCGAACCCGTTTAAGGTCAATCCAAACCTGCTTATTTCATGTCGTGTTCGAGTCTTGTCGTAATTTGCCACCCCTACATCACCCATCCCGGCAGATCATCAAACCAAGATAACATTTAAGAAACAAAAGGTCCCTGTTGTTCTCATCCATAAAGCATTTATGACGGACGGAAGTGAGACAAATACCCCTGTTTTGTAAATTATGAAAAGAAGCAAATTTGTCAAGGAAAATAATGCATGAGGTATTAGATGCTCTAGGTTTGCTTCCCTGTACCAAACTAACCCGACTTTAGGACTATATTCTCTACACCTATCCCAAGCCCTCCTCCTTAGAGCACATTTGGATGGGTATGGACAACAGCTCATTAGAATGAATTCTTGAAAAGTCTCAAGAGCCATGAGAAAGCAGAAGATGAAGTTTGGAGTCTCTGGCAAATGGAACAACCCTGGAAATTCTATGATCAAACTGCTGGGATTTTTCCCCAGACACCAGGGGTTCCCAAACAAGCTGATCAAGGGGCCATCACCAATCTTGTATGATACATTTGTGAACTTCACCTCTCTATCTGACAGTAGCTGCTTCCAGATAACTGAATGTGAGGAAGAAACAACACAGTTATGGTATGACACAGAGCCAACATACCTGGTTTTGAACCAATTCACATCCTGTTCTTGCCCTAAGCAAAAGAGCAAGATGCAACCATCTTTGTACCAGAAATCTTTCATATACCAAATCCACAGTTATCTTTGGGGGAGGAAACCGGATTCCACCATTGAAAAATTAAATTATTATTAAAGCATATTCATATTCCATATTAAAGGCGTAATTGTTGTCAAAGGAGCACATGGCAAATAACATGCGCAAGTGTTGCACCTATATGAGTTTGGAGCCTAGACGTGCCTTTTATATCATTGGCTACACTAAATATCCTCAAAAACAAAAAAGAAAAGAAAAAAGAATGCCCCTGCAAACCTGAACCATTTTTGGGAATGAAAGCAATAGAAGAGTCATTCATACATATCTCAAACCGACCCTGAGAATGAAATGCGTGAAAGATGTCCATCACCTCTCCCGTGGCCACTTTCCCAACTTTCGAGGATGGATCTCATGGTGAAAACATCCGGATTTGGGGCTTTATCCCCGTTGCAGCTCTTCAAAGCCCTCAGCACTTCGTCTTCACTCAATGGCCTCTCTAACCCACCTCTATCAGAATCAAAGATGGTATCAAAATGCAACCCCCTTAGCAATGGCCTCCAGCTATAGGTCTTTTCGTACAACACTACAACCTCTACCAGAAAACAACAATCCCCTTACACACCTCTTCCTTCTAGCTTAACACCTTCCCATCAACCCAAATCCTCCCAATGTGGATAAACCTCCGATAAGCGTAAGTGAGCGTATGGAAGAACCTTGTGTTCCAATCACCATCCTTAAGCCACAAAGCAAGAGTTTTTTGCCGCTACGATATCTCCTCTGAAATGGTAATCTCTAAAATCTCCGCCTGACATCCTCCCTCCTACGTCTCGTCGACTCGTCAAGACCACCCAATCCCTCCATTGGAAAAATCTTTTCCGTCTCAGAAAAAGCCTTATTCTTTCTCCAATCCAGATTCCCAAACACCTCCTTGTTCCACCTTTGATGTCTTCCTTTAAGAGCCCGAGTTTACTCGCAAGGGTGAAGCTCGGAGTACCACTCTTCCCATACCCAACTCACCAAAGTTGCACCCTCTCCTTGAAGCCTTTTGCCCGAAGCCACATGTTCTTGAATCTGAAGAGAGAACTCCTCTTTAGTAAACCACCATACTCCAAAACCAAGGGAATGGGAAGTGACATGGGTCTAGCCAAAGCTGCCTGAACCACATTCGGATATTTTTCCTCCCAGTCTCCGAAAGAGGAACCTATCCAGAAGAGATAAGAGATTATTTGCCACGACCAAGTGAAAGATGCTCCCTCCAACAACAAGTTAATTAACTGAAGACCATCAATGAAGCCAGAAAATTGCTCCATGGCCGAAGTTCTCCTACCCCCCGTAGACCTCTCCTGTGGGGAACGGACAATGTTGAAGTCCCCACCCACACACACCACGGGAGGGGCCACCTCCATTGAATAGAGCCGAGCTCCTCCCACAATAAATGCCTCTCCCCGTCCTCTTTAGGACCATAGACACTGGAGAACACCTAGTGGAAGCCATCCTCTTCCATGGTAATATTACATAAAAAAAAAAAAGCACAAGAGACAAAAACCTCCCTATCCACACATCCCTCCTGGTCACCCACCTCCTATCCCACATCACAAGAATGCTTTCTCAAGCATCGGAAGCACCCAACACCTCCTACTCCTCAAATCCCCCACCCCAAAGACTCCTTACCACCCTATCCAAAATAGAGGACAACTTCGTCTCCTGCAAATACACCACTTGAGCACCTCACTTTTGTACTGCCAACTTCACCATCTTCCTCTGGAAAAGGGACAAGAAATAAGCAGGCTGACTCGACAACGTACTCTTCATCAATATGGGCCACCCTCCCTTCGATAGGTTTTGCTTCTCCACCCACCAAGCCTCCTCTCGAACCTCTCAATAATTGGGTCTCAAACGCACGCTCTCCTCGAGGGTGACCTAGGGCAAAACCCAAATATGAGATCGGGAATTACCTTACACCACACTTCCAGAATGTCAGCCTAATCTCCCTCACCAAAATAATCACACTCTTCCCAATTTGGACTTTTAGACCTAAGACTGTTTGAAAGCTCACCAAACACTTTTCAAGTGCCTTGACTGCTTCTCATTAGCACCACAGCAGAGGTATTATCTACAAACAGTAGGTTGATATCTCCAACTGGTTGGAGGGTGATATCCAATTGATTGGCGGGATCCTTGCCCTCCTTGAACCCTCTAATGAATTGCTACTCCATAACCTTCCTCATCAATTGGTTAAGAGCCTCCATCACTATAATGAAGCAAAAGGACATAAAGGATCTCCTTGCCTCAACTCCCATGAACTCTTTAAGAAACCGATCGAAGACCTATTCATGAAATCCAAGAACCTCATAGTAGAGATACAAAACCCAATAAACCATCTCCTCGTCTCCCCAAAGCCCATCTTCCCCAAGAAAATATAACAAGAAGTCCAGCTTGCATGATCATAGGCCTTTTCAACATCAAGCTTGTACAGAACCTCTAGCACCCCACTAGTCAGCCTTAGTTCCCCATATTCACTAACAATAAAGGTCGAGTCCGATATCAGACGACCACCAACAAAAGGCATTTTAGGATTCTGAAATAACTCTGCCAATGACTAACTTAAACCTTGAGGGCTATGTTACATGGACTCGCCAGTGCAGGTGACAGTGTCTGTGTCAACACGACACGACGCGGACACCGACACAGGATATGTGTCGAACACTCTTCTCTATTGGACACGGCTGCTTAGTCTTCATCTGTTTAGGCAGCTCAAGGTGTGGCTATGGTGGTCTGGTTACGACTGGTTCGGAATAGGGTTTTCAAAGGAAGGTAGAAGACGACTTGGTATTACCGCTGTGTATGCCTATTTTCTGTGTTGAAACTTGAACCTTCACGCGTGTACCCTTCTTTTTTTTTCTTCTCTTTTTTCCTGACATTTCACGTGGGTGGGCTGTAACCAACATAAGTTGCCTTACAGCTGTAGCCCACTACAGAATTTATTACCATGGTTTATCCCCGTATATGCTGTAACTGCTGTATCTCATGTGCCCACTGTTTATTTATCTATTTTTTAAAGTAAGAATTAAATAAAAAGGCGTTCAAAAGGGATGTGCCCACTGTTTATTATAAGTAATATAATATTATATAAATTTATAATATGTTGGTTACAGTTGTAACCCACTATTTTTGTATATATATACTACTATTATTAGATTAACAATTTGACTTAGCTAGCCGTAAAGGATTTAAATTTTTTTAAAACCTAGTTAGCCAGTTACTTTCACAGTTAACTAACAAATTCAGTGTCTTTTCAAATGAAGGAACAATAACAAAGCATAATATGCATTTAAAGGTCCGACAATACTCTGCATGTGGTGTCCAAGTGTCCGTGTCTGATTTTTGGACACTTTAAATTCGTGTCCCCGTGTCCGACAATTGGATAGATAGATGGATCCGATCTCTAGACACGCACCTGTGTCTGACACCCGTACTCGAGTCCGGGTAACATAGCTTGAGGGTCAGACCTTAGCTATTAGGTCTAAAGTCCTTAAACATCGGAATCTCCCCCCTTCTTTTGGATAAGGGCAATAAAGGAGGAGGCATTCATGCACTTCTCAGACTGGCAATGCGTATGAAATGCGTACACAGAGAGGTATTATCTGCAAGTGTATAAAGTCCTAATTGAACCTTATTTATTTTCTTTTAGTATCGCAACAGAATTTTTTTTGTATTTAAGTTCATGAAGAAGTTTTTTTTTTTTTTTTTTTTATCTTAGTAAGTTACCCCCTTTTATTTTTATTTTTATTTTATCTATCTGCTAACTTTTATATTATAGGTAAAGAATCTAAAAGAAAACCTCCAGACTTGAGAAAATGTGAAACTAAGAACAAAAGAATCTTTGACAAATGGGATCAAGAATCATTATAATTTTGACAGAAGCTAGAAAATTTTCAACATGCCTTTCTTTTGTTGAGGACTAGGAGGACTATCCTTGAATCCCCCACCCCACCCAATGCTCATATATAAGTTGGTTCATATGGTAAATGATTATTTTGCTCTAACATTGATGATTTGGTTGTATGCATGACATGGGTTATCTTGTTTGGATTTTAGTTTGTGAGCAGGCTTATTCCATGGCACAAAACCTGGACCCCGGCAGTGATGGTAGAGGCGTTCTTCAGTTTAAGACTGGCTTGATGTCTGTAATCAAGGTACTTCAATAATTTTGAAGTTTTGATGATACGTATTGGATCGTATAGAACTTTATAGTTGTAAAATTAAGTGCAGCTACTTTACACTTCTGGCAAGCTCTTTTGCTTTTAATATATTTTGTTGTATGGTTGCAAAGTTCTCAATTTAAACCATGATGATATGGCTATTCCTTGCAGCAAAAACTTGCCAAAAGGGATGGTGCCCGAATAGATCGTAATCGTGATGTTGAACGCTTATGGGAATTTTACCAGCAATATAAGAGACGCCACCGAGTGGATGATCTTGAAAGAGAGGAACAAAAATGGAGGGAATCTGGGAATTTTGGAGAGTATGACCCACTTACAATGTTCTTTTAATTCTTTTAATCAAGTTGGTTGCTTATTTCCAAACTATTTTCATGTATCATACTTTGAGGAATTTGGAATTGAAAATATTTCCAAAAGCATTTTGTAATTCATTTTCATCACAGGAACAATGAATGAATACTTCTTAACCCTGACAAAGAACTGAGTGTTTGTATTTTGGAACCAGTGATTGCGGGCTTTGCAGACTTGTTTACACTATCTTTAATGTCAGCGATTACTAGCATAAAGGATTAAGCATAAGAGTGAAACACCAATTATTGTCATACTTGTAATACATCTGGACACAAGGGTGGGTTTTGGTGTTGGTACCTACCTCATTATCAATGTTAAAAAAGTGAATGATGTTAGAGAAGCAACATTAAAATCTTTTTCCTGGAAGATGATGACAGCTGATCATTCAATTTGCGAATTCTTGTAGTTGGAAAATAAATCTGTTTGTTATGATAAGGCTCCAAATTTTTAATGTTGATTTAACTTCTTTTTTTGGTTTGGTAAATACTCACAAACCCCCATAAATGCCCACTATGAGGCTTGAATCCTCACCTCTTCTTTAGGGAGATGTTATATTACCTGGGCCAATGACCCGGTGGTAAATTCAATGTATGAAAACGTTGATTTAACTTCATTGATAAAATTCAATCGAGTGCTTTTGACTGTTATGATGACACAACTTTTCAACGGTTTCTTAACTTCATTGGTAAGCAAATTTTTTTGACGTGCTCAATTCTTTCTCTAGGTATTGAATCTGCTAGAGCCTTTGATTGCTAGTACACATATTACAAAATGATGTTCATTTGGTTTCTCACAATTGTCAGCATGGCAGTGCATTCGGTGGCATTCAAAATTGTGGCACATTGCTAAGTTTAATATAACCTATAATATGTGATGTCTATTAAAAAAAAAAAGGAAATCTATGATGTCTTGAGAGTCAAGGTGTAATGGGCCGGGTGCTTCGCAGTCCGACCTAAAAACTTAAGCTATTGGTGGTGCTATAACCCAACCCACATATACACATTTCACTTCCCGTTTGGATCTGATGTGGGACAAGCTCCCCTTGTAACATTTTCCCCCACCCTAACTTGCAACGCCCTCGTTGCGGTTGGGCCACCCTGCTTACCCAGGGTGAAGACCTAGACGCCTTTGGGCGGGGCACTTGGTGTGACACCGGATCAAGGTCTGGTCTGGCTCTGATACCAACTGTAACGGGCCGGGTTCTTCGTGGTCTGACCCAAAATCTTAACCTATTAGGTGGTGCTAACACTCAACCCATATATACCCATTTCACTTCTCATTCAGATCCGATGTGGGACAAGTCCCCCTTGTAACACAAGGCCCCTTTATAGGTGATTCTTCATTCACATGGTCCCTTTCTTCATCTTCAAATGCGAGGTAGAGCCCTGGGTTTCTTGAATGGCTGTGTCTACTATATTCTTGGTTCAAGTAACAATGATGATTATGCTTCTTGTATAAGGTCCCTATCGCTCTCTAATCTTTAGCTAAATTTGTTCTTTGTACAATTGACAATTATTTATGGTCTTTATGATGATTATTTTAATATTCTTAATTATTGAATGAATTCTTGTTATTTAATACAGTTATATTGATAGTGATGAGGTCAATGGGTTCAATCATTTTCTGCTTCTTAATTTGAAATATGTTAGGAAATTCTCTGAAAAAATTATCTTTTCTTCTTACAAAAAACTCACTAGTTCATTTGCATTGGTTCTCGATTCAGCTTGAAACTCAGATCTTCAGAAATGAAAACTGTAATTGCCACTTTGAGGGCCCTGGTTGAGGTAATGGAGGCGCTAAGCAAAGAGGCAGCTCCTGATGGAGTGGGAAGACTTATCATGGAGGAGGTACTCTCTTCTCTCTGTTATCTCCCTCTCCCTCTCCCTCTCCCTCTCCCTCCCTCTCTCTCTCTCTCTCTCTCTCTCTCTCTCTCTCTCTCTCTCCCCCCTTCAATTGTTGGATATGAAGCTGTTTACACATGGTATATTTTGCACTAAATTGTGTCTTCTAGTTGCTTTGCACATTTTATGTCTGTAGTTTGTTCAAGAGTCTGTTACATTCTGCTACAGACAACTGATAAATTAATTCCAAAAATCTGTTATTTACTCCTTTGAGTATTTGCTTTCTGGTGTGCATAGCATGTTTTGATATTTAAAATCCATTGACACAGAAAAGGGTGAAATGAAGCTTTAATGGTATAAAGTATTGATTGACATCCGTTTTTCCTTGGTTCGTTTCAGCTAAGAAGGTTAAAAAAATCTGACGCTGCACTATCAGGAGAGCTCATGCCGTACAATATTGTACCTCTAGAGGCCCCATCATTAACCAATGCCATTGGATTTTTTCCAGAAGTAAGTCAAACCTCAAAAGATATATTAAATTCTTTATTCCCCACATCTTTTGCAGTGTTTTGTTTATTAGTAATGTTGCATAACTCAAAAGTTGCTAGCTGGATCTGATCTCTATTCAGTGTTATGTGTAATATACAATACTTTTCTTGAGGAATTCTGATGCAAACTCATGAATCTTTTAAATAATTATTTGTAGTGATATAATTGCAGTGGTTCCTCTTGATCTATTATGGAACTTCACCCCTAGCCGGGCTGCATTTTTTTAAAGTATTTCTGCCGGATTAAGATTATTTCTTTCTAACGATTATTTCTTTCTGTAATATGTACAGGTGAGAGGTGCAATTTCAGCGATTAGATATACCGAGCACTTCCCCAGGCTTCCAGCTGATTTTGAGATATCCGGACAGCGGGATGCGGACATGTTTGATCTTCTAGATTATGTTTTTGGTTTTCAGGTTTTATAATTTTCATTATCTCCACTGTTTTCTTGGTGCTCTATGTATTAGCTGTATTTTGCTTGCGTGTGAAAAAATTTATGTTAGTTTGGATCTGAACCTTTGTAATATTTATCTTCACATGGATGTATCACTGGGAGAATAGGGAGAGGAGAATAGAGGAGAGAGATCTTAGGGAGGAAAACTAACCTGATTAATTCTTTAAATGATACATAATATAATAGGGTAATAATCCTATTATATAAAGGCCTTTTATATTGGCAAAACGTGGGCAAATCCCAAGGGAGTCCAAATTTATATATTAAAATAACCCAAGGAAACCCTAATGACTAAATAATCCAAAATGGAAACTGCCAAAAGGATGAAAACCAAAATGTAAAGATAATTCTTCATTAATCTAATTCCTATCAAATCCTAGAATTGTGAAAACCTAAAAATCTAGCTCTTGTGCCTGCACCTGTCATTGGGTCCGTTTGGCATTGCTGTTGCAATGGAAATGGTGCTTTTGTCAGTAAAGCTGTTAGTAAGGTACATGTTAGGTGTTTGGTGATACACTATATAAAATACTTTTTAATTTGTTTGGTAACAAAAAATTTCAAAGCACTTTTATTACACTAATTTCAAAATAATTCTTTTTAATGAAGTGTTATTATATTTGATACTCCCTCTGTCCCACAAAAAATGTCCACCTTTCCATTTTTTGTTGACCGAAAATAATTTTCCCAATCCATAATCCAATGTATTTTTTTATTTTTTTTGATATGTAAAAATGTATTAGAAAGCGTTCAAAAGGGGAACGCATCCCAAGAGCTATACAATAACCGGAAAAAAAGAGAAAGGGGTAGTCCTATGGACCCAAAGAACCCCAAAAGTCCAGCATTTCATCTAAAGATATTCAATTTCTCTCCATAACCCAACTAAAAAGAGAACAAATGATAGAAAACTTCAACGCCCTAATGGAGAATTCCCCCCCATCAAAAGATCTTCTATTCCGCCCTTTCCAAAGGCTCCACCAAACACAAAGGTGTGTCACCCTCCAATAATCGCGAGCATGAGCCCTCACCCTTTAGCCCCTCCAAACGTCAATCAAATCCCTTGAGGTCCGGGGCATAACCCATTGGACGCCAAAAAGACCCAAAATGAGCCACGTGACAATGCAAAAGAAGGTGATCCACAAACTCTCCATCATTCTTGCACAGACAACACCTGTTGACTATGATTTGTCTTCTCTTTCTCAAATTTTCCAGAGTCAAGATCCTACCCCAAGCTGCAGTCCAAACAAAAAAGGCCACCCTAAGAGGAGCCTTCGAATGCCAAACCATTTTCCACAGGAAATTGGAACCGTGAAACTCGGAGAGGCAGAGAAAGAAAGACCGGACCTGAAAAGTCCCCTCTGAAGAAGGCACCCAAGTCAAAGAATCCGAACCGGTACCATCCACCTCCTGTCTATACAAAAGGTCCAGCAAGCCAGTGACGTTATCCACCTCCCAATCTTGAAAGGATCGCTGGAACCGCACATCCCAAGACAACCTACCACTATCGAGTTGATAGTAGTTAGCTACCAAAGCATGTCTATCAACAGCAATCCTGAACAACCTTGGGAACAAATAAGACAATGGGCGATCCTCGCACCAAGTATCCTCCCAAAACCGGACGTCCCTTCCTTCCCGAACTTTGAATCTAATATGCTTAGAGAACTCATCCTAGCCATTCCCAATGGATTTCCACACCCCCACGCCAACAGCAGATCTGACCGGCTTAGATGACCATCCCCCTCTCTCCTCCCTAAAACGACATGAAACAACCTTCCTCCATAACTTATGTCTTTCACTACCGAATCTCCATAACCAATTGGCTAGGAGCGCTCTGTTGAAAGGAGCTAATCTCCTAATCCCAAGACCGCCCAACTTAAAGGCCTGCATACCTGCTCCCACCGGACAAGATGAAATTTAAACTCCTCCCCCCGTCCGCCCCAGAGGAAGTTCCGTTGAAGCATCTTCCAACAATAGAGGAGGGGATCTGGAAAAGCGAAAGAAAATAAGTTGGAAGACTGGATAGTGTACTCTTCACTAAAGTAGCTTTCCCTCCCTTCGAAAGATATTGCTTTTTCCATCCAACCAACCTTCTCTCGAAACGCTCTACCACTAGGTCCCAGCTTCCCACCCTCCTAGACGAGTCACCCAACGGCAAGCCCAAGTAAGAAACGGGGAAGGAGCTCGTCTCACAACCTAAAACCACTGCAAGAGAATCGACCTCCTGAACCTCCCCCACAGGAACAAGCACACCCTTGCCCTCGTTGACTTTCAATCTTGAAACTTCCTGAAAGCAAACCAGGACACATCTCAAATATCTCAATCGAGACACCTCTGCCTTACAGAAAACCAGAGTGTCATCCGCAAAAAGTAGGTGAGAGATCTCCATCCGTTGAGCTAAATCTGGACCAATCTTGAAGCCCCTGATAAATCCCAAATCCACAGCCCTTCTCATCAACCTACTAAGAGCCTCCATAACAATAATGAACAAGAAAGGGGAGAGTGGGTCCCCTTGCCTCAAACCACAAGAACTGCCAAAAAACCCGGAGAGAGATCCGTTCACCAACACAGAAAATCTGATAGAGGAAATGCACGCGTCGATCCATCTCTCTCCGAAACCCATCCTCTCTAACAGATAAAACAAAAAATTCCAGCAAACATGATCATAGGCTTTCTTTATATCAAGCTTACACAGAAATCCAGGAACACAGCTACTGAGCCTATAATCCACACATTCACTGGTAATGAGAGTGGAATCCAAGATCTGTCTACCCCCAGTGAACGCATTTTGAGACTCAGAGATGACTCCGTCCAGAACCTCCCTTAATCTTAACGCAAGGACTTTTGCGATAAGCTTACAGATACACCCAATCAGACATATTGATCTAAAATCCTTTACGTTAGAAGCAACACCCTTCTTAGGAATAAGAGCAATAAAAGATGCATTCAGCGACTTTTCGAACCTCTCATTGGAATGGAAACTCATGAAAAGTGCCCATAACCTCCTGTCTAACCACCTCCCAGCTCTCCAATAAAATTCTCATTGTGAAGCCATTCGGACCTAGAGCCTTGTCACCATTACAACTCTTCAAAGCCTTCAAAACCTCCTCTCTAAAGGTACTCTCTAACCCATCCCTATCCATACTTGATATAGAATCAAAATGAAGGCCATCAAGCCGTGGCCTCCAACGTAGAGGCATAGATTGTAGCCTTTGGTAGAAAGAAATGATCCCCTTGCGCACCTCCTCCTTTGTATTCAACACAGTTCTGTCCACACACATCCGCCCAATATGATTGCCCCTCCTATCGGCATTAGCAGTTCTATGAAAAAACTTTGTATTACGGTCTCCCTCTTTGAGCTACAATACCCGAGATTTCTGTCGCCATGAAATTTCCTCCATAACTGCAATCTCAACAATTTCTGTTTGACAAGCTGCTCTCCTATTACGTTAGGACACAACAATACCACTCACCCCTTCCAATCTATCAATCTCAGCAATGTCAGCGAGGGCCCTATTCTTCCTCCACTCCAGATTACCGAACACCTCCTTATTCCATCTTTTGAGTTTGTTTTTTAGGAGTCGAAGCTTTCCTGACAAAATAAAACTCGACGTTCCCACCACCATGTCCTCCTCCCACCAAGACCGCACTTTCCCCTGAAAATCCTCCACTCTAAGCCACATGTTCTCAAATCTGAATGGAGTACAACGAGGTCTCAGTCCTCCACAGTCCAAAACCAAAGGAATGTGGTTCGACGTCACCCTAGCCAAAACAGCCTGAACTGCGTCCGGAAACTTCTTCTCCCACTCCCTAGAAGTCAAGAATCTATCCAGGCGGGAAAGGGTAGGCACCTCCCTACCACTGGACCATGTAAAAGAAGCTCCCTCTAATGGAAGGTCAATAAGTTGATGTCCATCAATAAACTCCGAAAATTGCATCATAGCCGGAGTCCATTGACCACGTGTAGATCTCTCTGACAGGTGCTTAACCACATTTAAATCCCCAGCCATGCACCATGGAAGAGACCACATCCCCTTCACCACACTAAGCTCCTCCCACAGCGCAATCCTCTCACAATCATCCTGAACCATCCATAGAAAGCCCAAGAGAAACCATCCTCCTCCATCGCAAAAGCACAAGACAGAGAGAAATGCCCTTACAAACATCCACCCTTGCCATCCATCTCTTATCCCACATGAGAAGAATGCCTCTAGAGGTCCCTAATGAATCCAGAGCCTCCCACTCAACGAACTGACTTCCACAAAGGCTCTTAACCACTCTATCGGTCATAGCATCAATCTTCGTTTCTTGAAGAGACACCAAATGAACCCTCCATTTTCTCACTGCCATCTTCACCACCTTCCTCTTGCCCGGGTCATTGAGACCACGGACATTCCAAGATAAAATTCGAAGTTTCATGAGGAAACATTAACACCCACCTCTCCCTTACCCCTCCCTCCCCCCTTTACACTGCCCTTTCCTTCTCCCCCTCATCTTCCTATCATAGTTCACGTCTGAACAAAGATTTCTCACCTCCCTCTCCCCTCTCCAAGAAGGATGATTCTTTTTCCTTCTACTCCCCCTTCTAGATCTCTGTTTCATCTCCCCTTCTATCCTCTCCGCCGTAGCATGAAGTATTGATAAGGCCTGATCCCGATTGCCCCTTGCAAGAGACACCCAGCAGTTCCCTAGTGGTCCTGATATTTGCCATGACCCAATCCTTGCCAATGTAACCACACTCCTGCCATACAATAACACTGTCCATATCCTCCGGATGCACAACTGCCAGTGGATCAACCATCCCCAGATTAGGGTGACCCTCCTTCGCTCACAAGATCATGTCAAGAGACCTGCCCTGCTTAACCCTGCTCCCATTAACATCACCTCCCTCGGGCTCCTCCACCTCATCAAAACAGGACATCCAGTCATTAACACTGTCCACCCCACCTTCCTGTACATCTATGAAAG